AATAAATTACAGTTAGATTTTCTACTGTGACCTTGTTATCTTACAACTGATGCATTTGCAAAAATCGTTGAAATCGCGAAATTGTACAATTTAATGGCATGTGGCTAATAGAAGTAGTCTCAAAAGTGGATATTATATCAGATATGTTGCATCTGATGTGGGGCAATATCATATTCAATCCCGTGAATGAGGCTGGAAGAATAAAGCATTGAGAGGAACAAATATAATGAAAATCAGGGTGTTGCACGAGTTTGGTCAATACCTGTACATCTTTTTGAGAAATTTTGTTCACTTATTCAGATATTTCTTATTGTCAATTTTTTTGTTGAAGTCGCTCGAGTCACGTTTGTTGCGGTTAGTGCCATCTAACCTAACGGCATAACATTAAATCATAGTATTGATTCAGAATACGAACCGGTACAGAAAGATTTGTTCAAGTTACTAAACAGCTAACGTTGCAAATGAGAAGTTGTTGGTGCCTAAAATACACTTCCTGACAAGCAGCAAGGTATGGGAAACCGGTTGCGCTTACAGAGAAATTTTGTTTAGCCCCTTAGATACAACTTATTGTTTCAGTTTGAGTTATTACAACCACTGACAATGCACTTTCGTTCAGCAGTTTTGCTTGCTGTCCTTTGGCAATCCATTCGGATAGGAAAGTAGAGTTAAGAGTGGAATGTTGAGAGCAGTGTCAAAGAGAAAAGATTACGGGAAACTAAGGTAGCAAAGAGATCAAGAAGATGCACGAGTACCACTGTTTGCGACACTTAGCTATGTCGCTCAGTGTCTCTAATCATCAGTTACGCTAAGCCCGATGTCTCCATCCAGGAAGCACAATGCGACTTATGTGATCGAGACTCCGAGTAGGAGTTCTAATATACTGGTCTTAGTTTGATCTGGTGGTGAAATCGGAAAGTGTAACAAGTCAGTCAGTCAACTTCGCTTCAGATCGATAAACGTGGTGATATCGAAACAAATTCGAAGCAGCTTTACAACAGGTCAAATAGGGCCCATGTGCAGTGAACTATCAACGGAATCGACAAATATCGAAATTCATACCCGGCGGAAGTGTAAACATGCTAGTTTGTTGAACGGAATTAGAATATTCATGGGTTCCGGAAAAAAGGAATGGAGGAGAGTGACAACTTCTTAAATCCCGAAACCGCACAAGTGCCGGATGCGTGCACACAAACCACCGAGAACAAAGACTGATGTAAACGATCACTAATCCGATGCGCAAAACAACCACCACCAGCACACTGAAAAGAAATACTACAATATGCTAGTCACATCACGTGACTTGATCGACAAACTGCATCGACCGGACATTATTTGCGGACGGATCACATATTGATCGGACGGAGCGCTCGGCAGGCGGAAAATAGATAGAGGGTTCACAGCAGGTGGAGTTGAAAGCCACTAAGTCTATTCTACCCTAGTTCAATTACCCTATTTAACGCTAACAGTTTAAAATTTCCTCAAGACCATTAGAAGCAAATTAAAAAGATGGACAATAGTGATGGCAATTGCAGTAATATTCACTGATGTTTACAGAGACTCATTTCAAAACTTAATGTTGATAACGATACATCTGAAGTGAGCCCCTCAGACCTATTTTGACAACCATGATGAAACGGGCCCTTTCTACTGAGCGAGGTGCTCCCATGTTTGAAGATATTCACGGACAACCATCCTCAAAGACTAGATTGAATATCACCCTTTCAGTCAAAAGCATGTACTGAAGAGCTTGTAACACCTATTGCGGAATTTTTCAACATTTGCTTACCCGTTGGTGAATAGGACGGATAAAATCAATCTCCAAGAGGAGTTCGTCAATGTACGACCCCAACGACTGCACCACTGTGCGGCCGAAAGCGTTTCAAGGTGTTTTGCTGCATCGGATGGTAGGTATCCCAGTGTGACTCAAGTGACACTCTCCAACTGACGTAAGAACCGAATCTATCCACACTTGATTCAATTGTTCATATTGGGCAATCTATTATATCCGTCCTAAACAATTGTCATTTGCTTCACGAAAAGACTCCGGCATAACAATGTCGAATTTAGTGCCGGTGTGCGTGTGTGTGTGTGTATGCGTAACATCGCATGATGAAAGCTATCATTCAAACAGTTCGTGTTTTGGGCAAAGCATCATTTGCGGTCTTTTCTCACGGGGACATGATACACAAACCGATAATCGTTCCTAGGTGCTCATGGTCCTTTATCCTTCAACAGGTTTTCCATGAAAGCTACTATCAGACACTCGTTTTGGTTGCATTTTTCTAGGCGAGATATTGCATTCTAAATCTGGTTTCTATTTTTAGCACTGTGGAATCAATACAGATAGACAGCCAACAAACAAATTAGAAAACGGGTCGTTAGTGCGGTTGAAACCGTGGGCTGGGTATTCATAAAGCAGACGGGAGTTTTAGCGTTCGACTATTTGAATTCTCGAAGAACTGATTAAACAGCACCAAAAAGGGTGTCAGAGCAAGAAATCCGCAAATTTTTAATGTGAAATGAAGAGTGGTAGAGGGTGAAAAGAACGCGTCCCAGTGTTAACGAATCCCACTGTTTAATGAGTTTTGGTAGGATAGAACTGGGCATGTGAAACCTTTGATTGGGTATTTCATCACATCTGAGTAGGATCATAGATAGGATCATAGAATCCAGATCGCACATGAAAGACAAATGAGTACGATCAAACAGACCCCGATAATTTAGTTTTTCAAAATGCATACTTTCCTTTTGAGTGACAGACAAAATGGCCCATAAACACTTCAGAGATCGATGGATGCAAGGAGATGCAAGGGATGAGGAATCAAAGGTCCTATATCACGCAATTGATCCTAGCAAAGATATCGTTTCAAGCATACTGAGGACAATAGGAAGCATTACTACAGATGAAGACTTTAATGGCAAACGTTTAGGTGCACGATGATCAAATAAATAATGTATTTAAATCACACACAAAAGGAAACAAACAGAAGGATGAAAAAACATGGGGTACATTTAGTGAAAACGACCAAGGCTTGAACTGCACTTAAAGGTCCCATATATATTTACACCACTTCCATTAACAAAGCTGATTGAGCGCCCCTGCAGGTTACGACAAGGTTAACGGCCATTAAAGCGGCGCATTGTGGTGCACAGAATTTACGACGACACCTATCCTAGGGGTTCGCCAAAGCAAGTTCTAGAGTAACAATATATAAAGACCTGGCAAGTTTCGGCCTGATGGGCAATCTATCTACAACAAAAGTCATAATCAGCAGCCGAAACTATCATTTAGTGTGTAATAATGACCGAGCAATAGAAAGAGGCGCCAGGCAAGTAGAAATCTACGGTTAGTGGAGCTGATCGATAACGGTGTCTTGAGAAAGAGGACAGGAAGAAACGTGGGCCACTGTGTACAGGTAGGCACTGCTTTACTAAACAAACGGATGATTAGCAGTGGCACCCGAGAAAGTGGCAACAAATATCCCCAAGAGGCAGCGTGAAATTGGTGAATCTGACCCATTACTAAANCAACAGGAACCACTCGTGGCAGGAGTACAGGTGCATCATAGAAGACAAAGACCGAGTAACACTCGAGATTTTAATCTGTGCCACATCCTCAAGACGTTATGAATGGATTCACCCATGAAACTACCTTATACTTAGGGGAAAGTCACCTAAAAAATAAGTTCTAGAAAACAAATAGAAGCATACCATCGAGCAAAATAATGTGTGACGCTGGTAATTAAGATCGTAGATTATATATCTGGGGTTTCTCATGGATGTCAGAAAACGCTTGGTCCGGTTGTTTGCCGGATTCATCGGGGTAGATGAATTATTTTGTTCCTCAACGACATCAATGGAACTGAGCGGTAGAAGCAGCACATAGAATTGAATAGTGGAAAACAAAAGCAGAATGAATCGATAAAGTTGAACACAAGTAAGATTGAGAATCATCATGGACAAATGAAGGATCTACAGGGGAATTAGACGAAACACAAAGGAGCTTCACAAGCCAGTGCTCTTGTCTCGAGGGGTTTCAGCTGCCTCAGAGAAAAGCAAAACTGGACAGAAAAAAATCTACCTCACAACACTCTAATCTTCTTCATCACCAACTAGAAAATGAGCCTTAATGGGGCCGAACAAAACCCAGAAACCGGATTCGTATCAAGGATGAAATAGCCACGAGTTAACTGACCTTTCTAAAATGTCCAGCAACCGCGTCGCGGCAGCACACGCGGCCTCATCCTCACTCATGAGAATCGCATAAGGATTATTTTCTGGCAAACCGGAACCAACAAAATCCGCCGGAGTTGGATCCGTGGTGGGACTTGAATGGACGTTGTTCACCAGATAGCTGCGTAAGATCAGTATGAGCTGAATGAGGCAATGCGCAGCGGACTCATGAACCTAGAATGGAATGTGGATGTGCGAGGATACTGGGTTGTGAGAAATGTGAGTAAACAGGAAAGCAAACAAGTAGGGAAATAGATATACAGATGACAGAAACAAGGAACAAGACATAATTGGGCAACATGAATATGTCGAAACCCAGGGAATACGCATCACACTAAACTTACCTACTATAAATGAGTTCTTTCCTATTGGAGGATAAGTCGGCTCATGGAGTTTCGGAGCGTTATCCTTAGTGAAGTTCAGAGTCGTTATACTGCTCGGTCAGTTCAGAGTAGGAGGTGGGGTAACGGCACCTTATACGGCCGTTTTGTCCAATGTGGCACCTTTCCGTTGGAACATCCCAGTGCAGCCTAAACTACAGTAGGATTATGACAGAGGAGCCGGTGACCTATCGTAAGGTCTATTCGCTTCTTCCGGAAAAACAGGTCGGGTAGATGGGGCACGACAGTAGCAGAGACCAAATTTAGTGTTCGGCCGCCGTTACCATGTCGCAGTGCGGTTCATACACTTGGGCGGTTTTACGGTGGAGTGCACCGGCTAATCACTGAATGGTAGTAAATGAATCTCTATGCATTATTGCATCAGAATCCTCGAGTTGCATTACGAGACGGCAAAATGAGGTATCACGAGAATAGGATTCCGTGAGGTCTCTCAGCAAGGATGACGTATAACCAGTGGGACCATCATCATTCATGGCAGATTCCACGTGTATCCTCCTTCTGCAGCCTACGACTCCCGCTCTCTCACGCACCCAAACACACGAGTAGGCGGATAAACACACCTATAATATTGCCTGATCCCAGGTTAATCCCAACTATAATTTCAATAGTGTTGCAATATAAGATCCGGAGTCATAACTCTGTGAAGGAACCAATGGTAATTGGCTCGTTTATGGGAACGGAGAAACTGAGACTTCGAATCTTCGCAATAATCTATGACGGTGATAGCGGCTTAACCATTGAGCCACCAACACCCTATCTTGTGAGCGCACGGAGTGAAGTCCTCCTTGGATTCGAAGGAGAACCGAAGAGTGTAACAGCACGCAACACTAACCATCATGAAGACGAACGCAATCTTTGCATCGTCCACAATCGCTCTAGTTTCGCTACTCGGTACAATGTTACTATCTGATTTGTTCCAAGTCGGCGGTTGAATAATAAAATATGATCTGACTCATAACATCCAATCGTCATATGACTTAAATTCAGGTGTTAATAAATAACTCGTTGGATTCAACGTCGCAATTCCAATGACATTGTTGTTCTCTCAACCCAAATATGCCAACAGTGATTGTCTGACTGGCAACCCGAGGTGATGGTAACTGTTGTTGTTGCTACTGTTGAGATAAGCATAAAACTAACTGATAATAAGACCCCGTGAATGGTCATTGAACAAGGTAAACGACTGAATGTGCCATAATGTGAAAACGTTTGGACAGTAAAATGTGAGTGGTCAGCAGGTTACTACACGACTTCTTCAGATAGAAACAGCCAAATAAAATACCATCCAAAGCATCAAAGGACTCTTCGTATGAGGGCACAAAAGCAACTTGTGGTGTAAGTCAGGAATAAATACAAGCACTCATGGTCACAAAAATACCTCAGATTTAAAACCACGGACTCACCTCCCACGGATTCGATGGCACAAAACATTCGATCAACCGAGGTATCAGGTTGTCCTCGACAAACCACTAAAACAAGAAACAACACTGGTAATCAGGTCACATGTTATTAAATCTGGATAGCGGATCAATAAACCAGTCTCAATTGCAACTGACCTAAGCGACAAAAAAACATTCGAACTGATGAGTAGAACCCCACTCCTATCTCTCACACAACAGGCAAGAGATATAAGTGAGTTGCAGAAGCACAAATTTGCGCTATCTTACGATTCCATCTACCACAGATGATAATAATACGTGACAGGGCCAAGCACAATGGGATGTCTGCAAAATCACGACGTTAGGCTTAGTTCGACAGGCGTACAAGAGCATTCTCAATGCAACTGCCTGATAAAATGTACGAACCAGATTTCAGCCAAAACCACCAATCATAGGAACAAGCACACGAACCAACCAACCAATACATACATTCGTGTACTTGTTTGGCGATGACCAACACCACAATGACAGCAGTTACAAAACGTCTGGTGAATCAAAACCAGGACAACCGCGTTTGACGGAATCGAGAACAGTCAGAAAATATTTGACGACGGAGAGAAAAAAGTGTGAGCGTATGGTTGTGAATGTGACATCATTGCTACAAGTGTCAGAAAACGACAGATGGGAATATGGGATGGACTATTAGCGAAAACAAGGATATCTAGAGCGAACTGAGAAACGTGCTCTATTTGTGCATATACTGAATGGAGTAGGTCTGAATAAGTCCACCAGTACATTTTCAAGGTTTGTTTTGAAACAAGTCCAATTGAGAGGGAGAAAAATGAGTACAAGTTTGTAGAGTTGGAACAATACCAGTTCACGATAAAGAGGTGGAACAGNACTATCACGAATGAATTGAAACCAAATCACCAGTTTCCTTTCATTGATACAATCTTTGCTGGTGCACGGATTTCAGTCGCCGTCTTTTGGCTACCGGTCGGAGAAAACAATTAAAATTCAGAGCGAACAAAATTTCGAGAGTGGTATTGGTTAAGCGATTAACAGACTGTGTGGCGAACTGAGTGCGCGAAATAACATCCTGCCTGACTGGATTCCAAACAAGAGAACGATAATGCGACATCAGAAGGTCATATAATATAACACGTGGGTCGTAATAGGGAATAGAAAATGTATCGAAAAAACTACGAAAGGGAATCCTTCGTCAGATTGGACAAAAAAATAATTAAGTGGAGGCAGCTGATACCATGTATCATTCACCACGTGAGCCCCATGCACAACAAGGGGGAAACCGAGCGCTATATGTAACGACGCAGATGATGATTACGTAATCACGGATAAAATTGGTCGCTTTCTTCAATCACGTTTGGGATGTGTGATTGATATTGGTGTGTACAAGAAACAGGATGAACTATAAAAGTGATCTGCTGTACCAGTGACTTTTCGCATCGATTCGCCATACGGAAAATGGCATTCGGTGGTGGCGGACGAAACACACACACGTACAGGAACTGAATCCTTTCTTACGTAAATCATATTTCCGAAGGGAANAAACGAATCTTCGACGAAAGCAAACTGCGATAGCCAGAGGGTGGATGGGAGTGCACTTGTGTGCAAATCGATAGTGATCATTGAAAATCCACAAGTTCAGTAGAGAAACGGAGTGGTCCTGTAGATATAACAAAAGTGACGTTGCAGACAAATCCTGTGGCATTAAGAAAGACTACGATTTACTCAACATCAACGCATCTCGCGGTTCCAATTGAGAATAATATCCCTTGGGAACTGGAATCACCATAGAGACGGTCCGTTACATCAGAACGGGTCCATTCAGAAATTACGATTGTCATCAACAAGTTGCCCTAGGAAACAATATGCACCGAGGCACCGAAATATCAACTTCCACTGTGATCAACTGAATTGTGCCTTTGCACAAGACGACTAGAACACAGTGAGAACAAGGATAACTGGGTATTTAAGCAGCCGTCTGAAAATGGAACTTTCTCTTTTTATAAAGGTTATAGTACTATGGTTTGTATCGCACAGTCTGGATGCAGACGCGTGTGAAATACAGTCTGACACTAGTATCGTGCATACAATGAACATAACATAGTAAAAATTGAGCGTATATAGGAAGGCAATAAAAAGTTGAAAATGCGGGAGTTTTTGGTAATTTCCTTTGGTTTTCGTATTTGAATGTTCGTGAAGAGCGGAGGAGGGGGGGCTGGACACGCATAGTGAACGCGTACAAGGTTCAAGCTGAGTGTAGCCACTCTAACTTACATCCTAGAGAGTTTCCAGCCAACAACAAAGTGCAATGTAAGAAATCGTCCACGAGAAATTTGGAGAGAAAAAGGATCGGGAAAGATGACTATGTCCAAACTCTACCCCATGTTAGTTGAACGCTATAAACGCACCATGGCTGTTAAACGAGCAGGATTTTTTTCTGTATATCCACAATCAGAGCAAGGCGGAAAGCTTAATCAAATGACAGAGCTCGTCAATCAAACCTGACTAATAAATGGAAGAAGGTATTGTT